CCAGTGGCAGGAACGCCGGGATATCCGCTCCGGCATCCTTCCTGACCCCGGCCATGGTGGAGGAGGGGGGGGACACACGATGACACACAGACTCACGTGTGTCCCCCCAAAACAGGTCCTTGGGGGTCGTCTCCCCCCCAAGATTTGACCCTCTTGGGGCATGTAACGAGCTTGGCTGTTCTCAGCAGAGAGAGAGTTGAAGGGGGGGGGACACACATCTTCCCTGAAACTCCACCACCACCTCCCCCCACCCCGTTGGGACCTGTCCCGCCGAGTGAACCCAGGCGTCCGGGCACATTCCTGGGGGGTGATTCACCGACGGGGAGGGAGGGAGGGGGGGGCCACCCGTCAGTGCTTCCCTCCCGGCCTTCGGCGGCCTCCTCTTCCTCTCCCGGGCGCTGGATCCGGCCACCGCCCTCGCCGGGGCGGCCGGCGTGTCACGGCAGGTCTGCCCGGCCTCGGCACCACGGGGCACGGCTCTGCCTCCGCTTCCCCTCTTCTTTGGGGGGGTCCCTGGGGGTCTTCTCGAGGTGGTCCCGGGCAATCTGGTGGGTCCCAGTGGCAGGTGTGGGTCACGGAGGTGTTTGCTGGTCCTGGGGACATCCATGGGTCGTGGGGACATCCTTGGGGATCGGATGTACCCATGGATCCTAGGGGTATCTATGTGTCTTGGGGATACGTCTGTGGGTGCTGAAGACATCTGTGGGTCCAGGGGGACATCTGTGAGTCCCAGGAACATCTGTGGGTGCTGAAGACATCTGTGGGTCCAGGGGGACACCTGTGGGTCCCAGGAACATCTGTAGGTCCCAGGGATATACAACATGGGTTCTGGGAACATCCATGGATTCCAAGGACATCCATAGGTCCCAGAGGCAGCTCTGAATCTTGGAACACATCCATGGGTCCTAGGGACATCCATGGATCCTTGGGCATCCGTGGGTCCCAGAGACATCCAGGGATCCTGGGGGACATCTGTGGGTCCTGGGGGATGTCTGTGGGTCCCAGGAACATTCATAGGTCCAAGAAACATCTGGGTATATCGCTGGCATTTGCATGTTCTGGGGCCATCTGCGGGTCCTGGTGGCATCTCCCAGGCTTTGCGCCCACCCCACTAATGCCCCTCTCCTCTCTTCTCCCCACAGTGGTCCTGCTGGACTTCGCCAAGGCACAGGGGGAGCTGGGCTGGCTCGCCCAGCCCTACGGCAAAGGGGTGAGCACCTGGGAACTGAGGCATCCAGTCCTGCTGGCCATCACGGCCCCAAGAGCCCCCACCAGGGATGGGGACATCCATGGGGATGGGGATAGTGACCTCCATGGGATGGGGACAGGGATGGGGACAGCCATGAGGAGGGGGACCCCCATGGGGATCTCCGTGGGGATGGGGATAGGGAGAGTGACCTCCACAGGGATGCAGACAGGGACCTGCATGGGGATGGGGACACCCATGGTGACCTCCATGGGGTTGGGAACATCCATGGGGATGGGGTTGGGAATATCCCTGGGTATGGGGACCTTCACTGGGATGGCGACCTCCATGGGGATGGAGATGGGGACATCCATGGGGTTGGGGACCTTCACTGGGTTGAGGACCTCCATTGGGATGACGTTGAGGGCCTCCATGGGGATGGAGAGAGGGATGGAGATGGGGACATTCATTAGGTCGGGGACATTCATTGGGTTGAGGACCTCCATTGGAATGGGGTTGAGGACCTCCATGGGGATGGAGATGGGGACCTCCACTGGGATGGGGTTGAGGACCTCCCTGGGGATGGAGATGGGGACACTCATTGGGTTGGGGACATTCATTGGGATGGACACCTCCATGGGGATGGAGATGGAGACCCACTGGGATGGGATTGAGGACCTCCATGGGGAAAGGGCAACCCATGTCGATGGAGACAGAGCCATCCACGGGGATGAGGACAAGTACATCCATGGGGCCCAGGGCCACCACCCACCCTGCCTCAGTTTCCCCCATCTCATGACCTCCATTTCTCTCGGGGTGGGGGACACACACAGTGGGACCTGCTGCAGTACGTGCTGAACGACTCCTTGATCTACATCTACTCGGTGTGCAAAGTCCTGGAGGGGGAGCAGGAGAACTGGCTCCGCACCAACTGGATCTACCGGGGGGTGGCCCAACGCGTCTTCATCGAGCTCCAGTTCACCGTCCGCGACTGCAACAGCTTCCCCACCGCCGGTGGTGGCTCCTGCAAGGAGACCTTCAACCTCTACTACGCCGAATCCGACGTGGATTACGGCACCAACTTCCAGAAACGCCAATTCAAGAAGATCGACACCATCGCCCCCGACGAAATCACCGTCCAGGATGATTTCGCCTCCCGCAACGTCAAGCTCAACGTGGAGGTGAGGTCGGTGGGACCTCTCCAGAAGAAAGGTTTCTACTTGGCCTTCCAGGATTTGGGAGCTTGCGTGGCTCTGCTCTCGGTACGGATTTATTACAAGAGGTGCCCGGCGGTGTTACGGGGGATGGCCCGGTTTCCCCAAACGGTGGCCGGGGCCGACTCGCAGACCTTGGCCGAGGTGCGAGGGACCTGCGTGGAGGAGGCGGTGGCCGAGCAGGCCCCGGTGCTGCACTGCAACGCCGACGGAGAGTGGCTGGTGCCCATCGGCGAGTGCCTCTGCCGGGCCGGCTACGAGAAAGTGGGGGACAGTTGCCAAGGTAGGGCTTGGGCGGGGGAGTAAATCGGGAGTCGGGAAGTGTGGGGGGGTGAG